TTTTTGGTTTCTCAAGACAGGGTTTCTCTGTATAGCTTTGCGCCTTTCCTGGATCTCCCTCTGTAGACCAGGCTGGCCTCAAACTCACAAAGATCCGCCTGCCTCTGCCTCCCCAGTGCTGGGATTAAAGGTGTGCGCCACCAACGCCCGGCCCTAAAGCTTTTCTTTCATTAGTTCATTATCTTTGGCTAATTACCTACATTTTCTTTTATCTTGAACCCTTAAAAAAAAACAACATCAATTTTGAGCGGACTATGGAGCTCATTTTGAGCAGACTAGGAGACTCATTGTGTTGGGACTCCAAGGAGTGGCCTCTTGTTTGTGGCATTCAACCTCCACCCTAGGACAGCTGAGCTCCCAGGTGGCTGGTGGGGTGGCTGTGAGAGGTAGGGGAGCCACTTTGTGGATTGCAAGTCTGTGGACTTCTGATGGACCTGGGACTCTGCTTTGCAGCCTGAAGAGGAAGGATGGCCATGAACAAGGGCCCAACCCTGGTGGACGGAGACCTCCCTGTAAGTAACCTGGGCTCAGTTGAGATGGGGAATGGGTAACCAAGGGAGGAAGAGTGAGGACAGAGCGAGAGCCAGGGGACCTCAGGCAAGACGTGTCTACCTTATGTTCCGAATCCACTGACTCCATCTTATTATCGCTGCCCTTGCCACTGTTAACAGGGGTGTCTGGGGGAACTGGAAGAAAGAGATGATGCCTATGATGGTCTAAGAGCCTTGGAGAAACGGGTAGGAATGCTGGCTGGAGGCTAAGGAGAGACAGGGAAAGAAATTGCCATGTCCTAAACCCTGAGGCAAAAGTCCACCACCCAGAAGAACATGCATGCCATATGGAGCCCATGTATTCTGTGGCTTTAGCCTGTGACCAAAACCTGCAATGTGCTGCCTATGCTGCCGTGCCTGGGAATAAACTAGACAGTCAGTGTGTCCAGCATTTATCTCTGGCCTGGTTTTCACCAGGATTTTAAGTAATTATGATATTTTTATATGTCCTTGATATGTTTTGCCAAGACCTCTCTGATTTGGGTACAGTTCAGATAGTGAAATTCAGAGCTATGACCCTTAGTTTAGGAAACTAAACTGATCCCAAATTAGGCTTTAAGGAACCTCTGTACTAGGGATAACCGCCTTGTTTCATACTAAATCGTAAGAGGAATGTAAATGGGTCACAAGAAATGTTATGTCTTCTTAACGGTTGGTGGTTTCTTCCATTCCCAGCCCGTTACTCCTTTGGCTTTGTCCAGAATAACCCTTGAAAGCACTGTTCAAAATGTGAAAGAGAATGTTTCATCATGTAGTCCAAATCCTTTTCTCCTTCTGATATCTGACTCACCTGTAGGGTGAAAAGCTAAAATAGTGTGGCTGTTTTGTCCCGGGGCCCAAATGGGTCTCCTTGGTGGCTAACTTGACTTCCTGCAAGCAGAGTATGTCACAGGCTGGCTGCATCTACAGTCACACAGAACTGGAGCAGATGGGTCAACCCTGAAGAGCTGGTTCACACTTCTTGTATGGACAATTCTTAACGTTCATAAGACTAGGCAAAAGAATACAAGGTCCCAGTTATTTTTGACTAATCCCAAAAGCCAAGAATCCACGGTCAATCTGCCTCATCCTTGCCCAATCATTCATTTATTTTATCTTAATTTAGTTGGAAGCAAATTCCATATATTCCGTTTCAAACCTGACTTGGAAACAGTCCAATATGGTAACACATGCTCATAAACTCAGGACTCGGGAAGCAGAGGCAGGAGAATCAGGTGCTGCAGGCCAGCCTTGGTTACATAGTGAATTTAAGGCCAGTCTGGACTAGATGAGACCCTATCTTTCGTTTTGTTTTTGTTTTCTGAGACAAGGGTTCTCTGTGTTGCAGTCCTGGCTGTCCTAGAATTCACTTTATAGACCAGACTGGCCTGGAACTCACAAAGATCTGCCTGCCTCCACCTCCCAAATGCTGGGATTAAAGATATGTGCCACCATACCCAGTGAGACCCTATCTCAAAAACACACGAAATCGAATCAAACCTGACTGAAGTCCTGGATCTACTATTCACTGTCTGTTCGATCTTGGGTAAATCCTATCTTCTCTCTGAACCTCAAATACTTCAAACAGCGAACTACTGTTAGGATTGAAATCAAGGCGCCCCAACTGGTGTCCTGGCGCATAATGGCCTCTAGTAAATGTTGCTTCCTACTACATGACCAGAATTATTCTTTCACTCAAAGATTGGTCTTTTTCTACTCTCTAAAGTTAAATTATGTAACTGCTGACAAAGCAAAATGCTTTGGTCAGAGTATGACCTCCCAATAAGAAGAGATAACTACAGTACACCCCAAAGGCTCAGACTCACTGGAGTCCCAACTTAAAAATGGAGTGCTGTGTTTTAAGGAAGGCTATGCCAAATCCTCGAATGTCAGGAGGAAAGGGTCACAAGCCCATTGTGTGACCCATTCATAAACTAAGATAGGAAATGTATTTATTTTCTATGGAGAAGGTACCTTTGCAGAGAGTCACCCCTGACTTGGGATGGGGCGACATATAAAAGGTGAAGCAGATTTGTTCAGGGTTGTTCCAGTAGGGTGGAGACAGTGTGTGGAGGCAGGCTTCAGCTCAGCAAAGTTATCCAACAAGGGGACCAGCCACTCTGTGAAGGCATCAAGCCCACCCAAGGAGATATCCAAATACAAGTGTAGTGAGACTTTCTGGAAAGGATTCTTGCTGAGGAGCCCCAAGAAGCCTAGATCCTGCTATTCTGTGTAGTTAAGAAGAGCCCATGGGTGGTGGTGGTGGTGGTGGTGGTGGTGGTGGTGGTGGTGGTGGTGGTGCACACCTTTAATCCCAGCACTGGGGAGGCAGAGGCAGGCAGATCTCTGTGAGTTCGAGGCCAGCCTGGTCTACAGAGCAAGATCCAGGACAGTCAAGGCTACGCAGTGAAATCCTGTCCCTGCCCCCCACCCCCAAGTTTAAAAAAAGAAGAGCTTACACATTCTACAAGGCACAGCCCCATGTATGGCTCATTTCTCCAGGGTCAGGCTTTTAGACAGGCATTGGGGAAGTAGAGGACATTCTTCCAGGAGAAAGGAGGAATACACACATCACCACGGCAGGGTGACAGGTGTAGAGACAACCCAAGGACAGACGCAGCCATGATGGAGGAGAGTCAAAAGCTGGCCATGGTGACTCTTGTTTATAATCCCAGCACTTGGGAGGAGGAGTCAGTGGGACTGGTTGTTCAAGGTCATCCTTAGCTAAGTAGTGAGTTCAAGGCCAGCGAGGGCTACTTGAGATCCTGTCTCACAGAGGAGGTGATAGTGAGAGAATAATAATATTCTACCAAGCGGAAAGGGATGTGGGAGGGAAGGCGAGCCTGTTTGGCAGTGATTCGGCATTTATAGACATGGGCTCAGCATCCCAGAAAGACAATGAAAGTGTTTAGATGAAGCCACCAAGTTGAAGGTGGACTAAAACCCCCAACAGGTACATTCACTTGCTCTGGGCAGTCAGTCTAAGAGGAGCGACCTGGGAGGGGGGATGGGATTTGGCTTGGTCCCCAGAGAACACAGATCGCCTCAGGGGTTTTCCAGAGTCTAGGCAGTGACCAGGAAGGCATGGCAGGCAGGCTCTCCTTTTCCGTGACTGGACCATTCAGAGACACCTTGTTTCCTTTAGACTCGGGCTGGCCTCACAAACGGCATGCATGACCCCTAGCTAGAGTCAGCTTGCAGGGCGCTTGAGTGGGGGTGAGAGGATCTAACAGTCTCTTTGCTGACAGGAGCAGGAGAATGTGCTGCACAGAGTCCTGCAACTGCCTGTGGTGAGCGGCACTTGTGAGTGCTTCCAGAAGACCTACAACAGCACCAAAGAGGCCCACCCCCTGGTGGCCTCTGTGTGCAATGCCTACGAGAAGGGTGTACAGGGTGCCAGCAATCTGGCTGCCTGGAGCATGGAGCCGGTGGTCCGCCGGCTGTCCACCCAGTGTGAGTTCTCCCAGAACTTGGCAGCAGCCTGCCTGTCCCACTGATCCTCATTGCATGTCTGCCTGTCTGCTTGTCCGTCTGTCTGACCATCTCACAGCTTGCTTGTCCACCTCCCTGACCACCTCCCTTACTTGCCTATATCCAACTTCCTGATCTTCTCATCTGCAGATATAGAGGCACAGGCGCAGATCTCTTTGGGTCTATACATGCCTCAGCTGTAGCCCAGGCTGGGGCATCCTCGGCTAACAATGACAGCCAAAGAATTTTCAGGGGGAAGGATGGGCAGACCTAAGGGAGCAGTGGTGAGTGTGGAGCCACCCCGACTCCAAATACAGCAGAAGGAGCAGAGTCTCAGTGACAGCCGACCTAGCAGGGCAGAAGGGCACCAAGGAAAGAGAAAGCCCCTTCACCCCGCTGCTGCTGGTACCGGTGGGGCAGGTGGGGCAGTCGAGAGCTCCCAGGCAGGGTCCTGAGGGGCAGAAACAAGGGTCAGTCTGTCTCCATTATCCTGCCTCCAACAGAAAATACCGTCTCCAAGAACCAGCTCTTCACAGGCTTGAGGGAAATCTCAGCAGCACCGGGAAGTCTAGCATCTTCTATCATCCTGATAGATTTTGGGGATGCGAGAGTTCCACCCAGCAACCAGGCAAGGAAGACTTAAAGGCTCCATTTCAAATCCATGGTCGCATAGATGGCCCTGGTTAAATTCAGTGGGTCACAAAACAAAGCGAAATGACAGGGACGTGAGAAACAGACATGGGGGCCGGCCAGGATGGGAGACAGATAAGAGAAGATGCATGTGGGGACGTGAGTGAGAAAAATGCATTATGCATGCGTATAAAGTTGTCCAAGAAAAACACATGCAGTTAATGATAATAATAATAAAAATACCACAAGCCCTAGGCTAGCCCTCACGAATGCCCTCATTCTGTCCAATCAGAAGACAGCCAGAGTCATCTGGGCTCTTTGCTGTTTTTTCGAGACAGGGTTTCTGTGTAGCTTTGCGCCTTTCCTGGAACTCGCTTTGGAGACCAGGCTGGCCTCGAACTCACAGAGATCCGCCTGCCTCTCGAGTGCTGGGATTAAAGGCGTGTGCCACCACCACCCGGCTCTTTGCTGTTTTAAAGAAATACGAAAGAGCCATCTATAAATAACCTTTAAACCTGCGCCTTCCATGGCCTTGATCACAGAGCCTGCGTCCTCAGCAGACCATGGCAGTCTCCCCCGGGAAACATCTGCATCCTCCGGGAGCCTTATCTCACTCCTCAAGTCAACTTCTGTCTCTTCCCTGTGGCTCCTTTCAGCTGTGGCCATCTTGACCGCCGGGGGTTAAAACTGGTTCCAGGGTCAATCTGGAGCTGCTCTGGCTGTGGCTGTGAATCAGTCATCTCCAGGACTAAGCAAGCCTAGGCCTGGTACCCCCGAGGCCTCTGCCGAGGCCCTGGTGCCACCTGCCTCACTCCCACATGGGTTCTCTCACGTCCTCACACCCTTCCAGAACAATGAACAGGGAGGGAGATTGGGCGGGGAGAGAACAGCATTTGGCGGTGGTTCATAGAGGCTGCCGTCACTTTACAAACACAGAGGCTGACGGTTCCGGCTCCTGACAGCAGGAGGCAGCAGAGAGCTACTGCCCAGGGCCCTGGCGGTAAAGAATAGGGTCCGTGTGAGCCTAACCTGGTGTTCAGACAGAGGGGACTTGCTAAAGCCACGTGCTGAGCAGGCGCAAGGCTTTGGGTGCAGGTCTTACGGATTCCAAAATGACCCTGCCCTCAAGGAGTCATAAGTACATGGGAGCTAAATATAGCAGAATCTCTGGTCCCTGGACAGCAGGGCTGGGATCTGGGGGCCCCAATGTACCTCCTTTGAGATGGAGGCCACTATTAATTCCTCGGGAGGGGAGTAGGGATCCACCCAACCCAGCCCTTCCCTTTCAGTCACAGCTGCCAATGAGTTGGCCTGCAGAGGCCTGGACCACCTGGAGGAAAAGATTCCGGCCCTTCAATACCCTCCAGAAAAGGTGAGTCCTCCCGCTCCTCTGGTGCTCCCTACGCTCTCTTATTGACCTCCTCTCAGAACAGCTGATGCCCTGGCTGTGTGACTTTGTGTGCTCATGGGATGAGCACCCTCTTGGGCAAATGGAGACCCCTCTTCCTCTTTCTGTGGGGCCCAGTAGAGTCGGGGTGTCTGGGACAGCAAGTACATGCCTCAGATAAGCTCAGACAGACACTTTCATGGTCCTCAAGGGGAAGGAAGGGCTAACCCCAACATGGCCCCTCTGTCATTGCGCAGCCTTCTGATACCGTGGCCGTGGGGTCTGGGACTCTGTGGGTTCGCACAGGACTGTGGTGATAACAGCTACCTTCGATCTTGGGTCTCAGTCACTGGGATCTCAGGATTGCATACATGGCCTTGAGATCCAACCCTTTAGGGACCATGAGACTAAACGAGTCACTTTTCCCTGGCCAAGCCTTTAACTACCTTATCCAGTGCTGGCTTCAGTAAGGCCTATGACCTCCTCTGTATTACTGACCAACCACCGGTCTGTCCTACCAATCTCCCCTGCGCCCTGCGCCCTGCACCCTGCCCTTGCCAACGGCCACAGCATGGGCCTCATGGAGCCCTCTCGGGTCATCCTTGGTGACGGGACTCAGCTACCCTCACTGTGCAGATGAGTAAACACAGCCTGAGGTGGAGACCACCAGGGGTCAGCTGGTCACCTGTCTAGTGCTCCAGACCAAGTCAACTTTGTCACAGAGGAGCTCCCAGGGTCTCAGGAGGAAGAAGGCAAATTACTCCAGCATTAAATCTGTAGGAGGGTCAGTCATGCCGATCAATCCGTGTGAACAGTGTGTCGAGGGACAGCTAGAGGGGTGCCTTATGTGAAGGAGGGTATCAGGACTGGTGTCACCAGGGAGGCTTTGGGGCTTCTTCACACAGTGTGGAGAAGCCAGGAGACTGAGGTGGCCTTTTTCTTTCCCACATATTCACATAGTCTTGCCGGTGCCTGGTCTTTTTTTTTTTTTTTTTTAATTTTTAGACAGGATAATATCATGCTGTAGCCCAGGCTGGTCTGGAACTCACTATGTAGCCAAAGATAGCACCAAACCCATGGTGATCCTTCTGTCTCAGCCGCCAGCCCTTGTATTACAAGTGTGTACTGCCATGGCCCAGTGTGCCTGGGTCTTTAAATGGGGCCCTCCAGAGAGCTGGGCTCAGGACCTTGTGAGGAAACTCACACAGTTGACTGTCTCCCCACCCTCCTCAGATTGCCTCTGAACTGAAAGGCACCATCTCTACCCGCCTTCGAAGCGCCAGGAACAGCATCAGTGTGCCCATCGCAAGCACTTCTGACAAGGTCCTGGCCAGCTGCGAGCTTGCCTTGGGGATGGCGAAAGAGACAGCGGAATATGCTGCCAACACCCGAGTTGGCCGACTGGCCTCTGGAGGGGCTGATCTGGCTCTGGGCAGCATTGAGAAGGTGGTAGAGTTCCTCCTGCCACCTTCCAAGGAGGAATCAGGTAACTGCCCTTCAGACTGGCTGGCTACCCTGGGAACCAGCTGGCCGCTCGGCACCCGAGGATCAATGAGAGACCACAGGTCTTATTGGCCTTGCTCTGGCACAGGGAATGCCCCTCCGAAGCTCCAGAGGATCTCAGTCCTTAGTCCCTCCACCCCAGATGTAAGAGGGAAGATCTGGCATTGGCTATCACCAGAGGGGGTGTGGTAGAAGGAAGGCGATTGTTTTCCAGCCCAAGGCACAACCCCGAGTCCATTTTCTATTTTATTTACTCTTTCAAAATTTTATGTGTCTGAGTGTTTTGACTGCTTGTATGGGTGTACACCATGTGTGTGAATGCTGCCTGTGAGAGCCAGAGGAGGACTTTGGATCCCCCGGAACAGGAGGTACAGATGGCCGTGACCTACCATATTGATGCTGGGAATTGAATTCAAGTTCTCTAAAGAGTGGCAAGAGCTATTAACCTCTGAGCCGTCTCTCCAGGCCCCTCAGGCCCCTTTTGATCTCTTTTCTTTCATATCTTTTTTCTAGCCCCGGGTTCTGGACGGCAGCGGGCCCAGAAGGCTCCCAAGGTCAAACCGAGCCTCGCGAGGAGGGTCAGCAACCTGGCCAACACTCTCTCTCGACACACCATGCAGACCACTGCTTGGGCCCTGAAGCAGGGCCACTCTCTGGCCATGTGGATCCCGGGGGTGGCACCCTTGGTGAGTCTGCTCAGAGCTCTGCCTGGCCCTGCTCTGGGGTTTCCCAGTCCCTCTGTCTTGGGAACAGCCTTCAAGCTGGGTTGGGACTTTAGACATAAAGACAGGGGTCTTAAGAGGGTGGTGGACTAATTGCCCAGGCCATGGGAGAAGGCAAAGGACAGAACACAAACTGAGGTGTGGTCCTGCCCCACCACCCTCTTCTGTCTCCCCCACCCTCCCTCGGAGTCTCCCTGACTCCCAGCCTTCATGATCCCAAGTAGACCTCTTACGGAGGACTTCCCACCCCCATTTGCTTTTAAAATAGTAGAAGTGTCCCCCATAAACAAATAAACAAAACAAAGAATCACAAAAATCCTGTCCAGTGGACAGGAGTCCCATTAGCCCTCGCCCCTGACTGGGCAGTTTTCCAGCCTTTCCTTCTAGGACTCTTGACTTTCTCATTACACCCAGGCCAAGCTGCTTCTCACCTGGGTCTTTAAATGGGGCCCTTCAGAGAGCTGGGCTCAGGCTGGGGTTTTTAGAATAAGGAACTTAGTGGGAAACTAAGAGGGGGAAAAAAGGAAAGGAAGGAAGGAAGGAAGGAAGAGAGAGAGAGAGAGAGAGAGAGAGAGAGAGAGAGAGAGAGAGAGAAAGAAAGAAAGAAAGAAGGAAGGAAGGAAGGAAGGAAGGAAGGAAAGAAAGAGAGAGAGAAAGAAAGAAAGAAAGAA